GTGACAGTAAATATAAATGTTGGACTTTATTAGGAATTTTTTAGATGCTCCTTTCAGTCATTTGATACAAAGTGTTTTTTTTGTAGTGACATAAAACAGAGCAAAAGAGTTACCAGAGCAGAGTGGTATTCTTAGGGCCTTTAACCTAAAAACATCAACATGGTTTTGCAGCACAGCATGTCAGGAGTTTCTGAATCAGGACAACATTTTTTCTTCAGCAGCATAGCAGCAACTCTCTAGTCAAACGCAGCAAAAATAAGGAATCCTTGATAATGACATTTATGACATATTAGGATTCTGCAGTAAACTGGATGAAACATTTCAGACAAACCATTAGGTTGTGGTAAAAGGCTTAAAATGGGTTTACCAGCACACAGAACAAAAGACAATCACAGCTAGTCTGCAGAGCCATGCATTTGAGCTAAAAACAAACAGTTTTTTATGCTAAGTCCTGCAACAATTGACACTGAATGAGAGAGCATTCAAGGCCGTAGAAACAATGACGCCCTGGAAGCTTAACATGTAGAAGCTTGTTGTTAATGCTGAGAAAAAAGATTAAAATTACTTTTTACTGTATATTTTGGGCAAAAATGAACAGTTATGTTACTGAATTGGAACCCTAAAGAGATGCAGACTAATTGAAGGTATATATTATATATAGGTGGAAGTTTAAATGTTAACACACTAGATCAACAGCTTTGTTTTTTTTTTTGGCTCAGCTCATTCTTCACCATGACAGATTAACACTGGCTTAATCCATCTATTCATCTTCTACTAAGTTTTAGCATTAGATCCAAAAGATTTAAAGAAATGTAAAAACTAGAGGCAGTGGATTACCCAGAACACAATTAGCACATGAACAGCCACTTTAAAGCATGCATTTGGTTTTATCCGAGTCAACTCCCTTTTATAAACAAAGCATGACTTTTCACATTGCAGATAGCCTTCAAGAAGAAGTCCATTAATGGATTATAATGTACAAATTCTGTATATCATCTTAGGTCTGACTTTAAAACATGAAAAAAAATTATATATTGTTTAGTAGGATAAGCTTGAAGGAGACTCTTTGACAGCAAGATTATTAGACACTGCACTCAGTCCCCGGCTGCTGAATAATACTGTTTTATTTGTCCCACCATTGCATTTCAGCACTTTAAAACTTTTTTTATATATCTAAGTGTATGAAAGTATCCCTTTCATCAATGATTAGAAGTATATTTCTTATGAATTATAGTTTAATCATCATAAGATGTCTTAAGCTTGAGGAAAAACAAAAACCTTCCAGAGACTAAAAATGTTAATTACAGTAAGTTTAATTAGCTCTAATCTGAAGTGAAATATTGTTTCTGAATAATTAAAATGTAGCTCGATGTGTTTCCTTTTGAAGAATCAAAACAGCTCCCTCGGCTGCTGCTCAGTTCATTCTAGGACAGAGACGACAACAACAATGCTGCAGCATGATGAGGTCGCCGTGGGAACAACTAAATGAGACCTTTGGGATGGAAACGATATGTGGATAAATTAAAAACAGGGGTTGTTAAAACAGGAAGGTATTTCTGCAAACTTTGTCTTTGAATATCCTTATGACTAAACACTCTAAGCCACAACATAAGCTTGTTTTTTACAGAAGGAGCAATTATTTATCACATGTAATCTCTATAGCACCAAAAGAAAATTACTACAATAGAATTTCTTTTTAGGAAGCTCATCAATAAAAAGGGAACAAGCAGTCGATTGAGAAATAACCATAAATACGTCTGCATTATAACACTATGCTATACTGTAACCTACTCCTTCATAGTTATAAAGCGCCTTTTCTAAACCATTCCTATACTTTTAATTAATACATTTTTTAATTGGCTGCTCAATTTTTTAACATGAAATATGCTCTTTTCTTTTTTCTCAATGAATCTAGAAAATCCTGCGAGTAAAATTTCATTAAGAAAACATAGACCAGTTTGCTACTGACGTCACGGAACAAAAATAGAGCAGAGTGGGTCATCTGTCTTATTCAGCCAAAATTATTACCTGACAAACAGGATGAACTTTGTCAATGCTGATAATATCAGCAACAGGTAATTAGTTTAGCTGCTCTTTTAAACAGATTTCTGTTTGTATCTGCATCTCTCATTTGATTTGTTCTAAACCACATTTACTATTGTTTTATTATTTGTTTACAAGGGTGTGTACATTTGTTCCCAGGTGGGGTGTGATTTGTACAACAGGACTAAATACTGAGCTAAGATTTACCAGAATGAGCATTGGAGACCCGTTTTGTTGATATAAACATTAGAGACCGTTTTAGAAGCAAGATAGATTAGCTTTCAGAATGGAAATTAATTTCCACTGATGAGTAATTAATTATACATATTAGGCTGTTATCGTCAGAAGTTATGCTCTCTTATATTACATGCATGTTATCAGCCATTAATGACAATGAAATTCAATATTTCACCTCTTATCTCTTCCAGCTGTCAAACCTTTTCTTCAAGAAAAAAAACCTCCTGCAGGACTTCATCTCATCCTTCACAGCTGATCCAACAGGATTGTTAAGAAATGGACACATGGTTCACCATTGCATTATTAGGTCTACCATTAATGCTGTAAATAAGAATAGCTTTCAATATCATTAAACGTCATGTCTAGAAAAAGCTCAGATTGAGGTATTAATTTTCCATCCATGTACAAAGCCCTATTCATTCTGCAACAGAATCAACCAATATAACTCACGTAGGAACAAGGAGACTTTGCCTTAAAAAATAA